ATTCCATCTAGCAGTCCTTTGCCTAGTCTCCTAGCCTGTCCAACTCCTTCTGCAGCCTCCCCACTTCCTCAACACTATCTGTCCCTCCATCTCTCTTTGTGTCATCTGCAAACTTAGCAACAATGCCCCCAGTTCCTTGCCCAGACTGTTAATGTATAACGTGAATAGTTGTGGTCCAACACAGTTCCCTGTAGAACTTCACTGGTCACCAGCTGCCATCTTGAAAAAGACACCTTTGTCCCCACACTGTGCCTTCTGCCAGTCAGCCAATCCTCTGTCCATACCAGTACCTTGTCCCTAATACCTTGGGCTCTTACCTTATTTAGCAGCCTCCCATGTAACACCTTGTCAAAGGCCTGGAAATCCAAATAGATCACCTCCACTGGCTGTCCTTCATCTAACTTGCTCATTACTTCCTCAAACAAGTCCAACAGATTTGCCAGGAGTGATCTCCCCTTGTCGAAGCCGTGCTGACCCAGCCCTATTTTACCATGCACTGCCAAGTTCTCTGCAATTTCATTCTTAATTATGGACGCTAAAATCTTATCAATGACTGAGGTCAGTCTAACTGGCCTATAGTTTCCTGTCCTCTGCCTCCCTCCCTCTTTAAGCAGGATGTTACGTGAACCAGTCCTCTGGGACCCTCCCTGACTGCAGTGATTCCTGAAAGATCATCACCAATGCTTCTACAATCTTCCCCAGCTATCTCCTTCAGAACTCTGGTGGTGTAGTCCATCCGGTCCAGGTGATTTATCCATCTTCAGACCTTTCAGCTTCCCCAGCACCTACTCCTCAGTGATGGCCACTATACCCACTTCTGGCCCCAACACTCATGAAGTACGCTGTTGGTGTCTTCCACTGTGAAAACTGATGCAAAGTACTGATTCAGTTCCTCCCTCATTTCTTTGTTCCCCATCACTACTTCTCCAGACTCATTTTCCAGTGATTCAATGACCACTGTTGCACCTCTATCTTACCATTTAGATATCTTTTAAAAAAAAAAAACGCTAATTTTCTTATATATTACCAGCTAGTTTTCACTCATATTTCACACTCTCCCCCTCTTGTTGCTTTTTTAGTTATCCTCAACTGTTTTTTAAAGGCTTCCCAATCCTCTGGCTTCCCACAAATCTTCACCACATTGTTTGTTTTTTCTTTTGCTTTCCAGCAGTCCCTAACTTCCCTTGGCAGCCATGATTGTCTCATCCTCCCCTTCGTATGTTTCTTATAAATTATAAATTCTCCTCTTTCGTATTGTAAAGGATCTACATTTGTCTTCACCAGTTGTTTTCTGTTCAGATACCTATAGAAGCTTTTACAGTCAGTTTGTCTGTTCTCCACAAGCTTACTGTCTTGCTATATTTACTTCCTCTTAATCAATCCCTTTGTCCTCCTTTGCTGAATTCTAAGATGCTTCCATTCCTCGGGCCTGTTGTTTTTCTGGCTACAGTTTGGTGTTCAGTGTTAGTGATTGGCTGCTTTACAGACAGAGCAGGCAACAGTCTGGGAGTGTGAAGTAAGGTAGGCCTGAGGTATTGGCATTACATTGTCTCTTACCCCACTGCTCATTCTGCAGGAAATCTGTTCCCAAAGCTGCTGATAAATTGTTGCTGGGTGCAGATTGCTGTGTTCCTCAGGATGGTATTTCTGCAACCTCCCAAAGTAGGAACTGTCCAGTCTCATCGCTGGGTACTTTTCTCAAAGTGAAGAATTCTGTTCGCATTGTCCTGAGGTCACCAGGTGCTTTGTCATTTTCCTTGGATTAAAAATGGTTAATTTGAGTTGAGTTTCTTATAACAAGTTAGTTTGGAGAAATAAATGCAGAGATATGAAATAAGAGCAGGAACACATCCAGCCTGTTCCTCTTTTCAGTATGACCGTGGCTGACCTTGGGTTTTCACCTGCTTTGCTGCCTGCTCCTCATCTCCCTCGATTCTGTCTCATACTTAATGATAGTCAACAATGAAGCAGCCGCAACTGTCTGGGGCAAGGAACTACAAAGATTCGCAACCCTTTGACTGAAAAACAAATTCCTCCTCATCTCAGTCCTAAATAATTGGCTTCTTGTCCTGTGCCCCTGAGAAACAGCCTCTCTGTTTGTGTGCCATTAAGGAGAATCTTGTGTCTTTAATGTGATCAGCCTTCATTCTTCTAATCACCAGGGAATATAAATCGAATTTACTCAGCCTCTCACCATAGGAGAGCCACCTCATCCTAGGGACCAATCCTAGTGAACCTTCACTGAACTGCCTCCAGTGCAAATATATTCTTCCTTAAACATACAAGAAACTTCATTCAGTATTGCTGATGTGATGTCACCCAAACAATTATAGCAAATCTCCAGCATACAGTGCTCTAGTTGTTTTACCTTCTTCTGTTCACATACCAATAGAAACCTTTAAAGTCAGTTGGTATGTTCCCCACAAGCTTACTGTCTCACTGTATTTCCCCTCCTATTAATTGATCCCTTCTCTCCCAGTTGTTTGCTGTACCTGTGAGCTGACCACTAATTTTGGTTGTCAGAGTACCCTCGGAGTCTCTGAACAAGGCCATTACTGACTGGTTGGACTGAGTGGTGATCTCCTGTAGTGTCAATGTTTTGTGATGCACATTTACAAGTGTCATGAGATTTTTTTTTCTTAAGAAAGCTGTTTTTCTATTATTATGGCCGAAGTGAATAACCTCACAGCTCCACACATCATATGGCACTTGCTGTGCATGTACTGAACCTGTCTACACCTCTGTGCAATCTCTGTGTCCTCCTAACAGCTTTCATTTGCACGGAGCTGACGTTATTAGCAACCCTGGACATATTACTCTTTGTCAAACTTATTAATTCAGAATGTGCATAGCTGAGGACTCTGAGCCTTGATTCTTCCAACACCCAATTAGAACCTGTTGCCAGTGTGCCATTTTAATAATTTTTAATAATGTTTAAAGCTGCCATATTGAGCATCTGGTGAAGATAAAGGGGGCATGTATAGACAGTTGGAATTGAGTGAATCCCTCAGAGTTTAAGGGAAGTAGGAATATACTCGAGGGAAATCAGGAGGGCAAAAAGGGGACATGAGATAGCTTTAGCAAATAAGGTTAACGTGAATCCAAAGAGATTCTACTTGTATATTAAGGATTCTACTCCTATATTAAGGGCAAAAGAGTAAATAGGGCCTCTTAAAGGTCAACGAGACCATTTATGTGTGGAACCATAGGAGATGGGTGAGATACTAAATGAGTATTTTGCGTCGGTAGTTACTGTGCAGAAGGATATGAAAGCTAGAGAACTTGGAGAAGTAAATAGCGATATCTTGAAAAGCGTCTGTATTACAGAGGAAGTGCTGCTGGGTGCCTTAAAATGGTTAAATGTGGATAAGTCCCCTGGACCTGATCAGGTGTATCCCAGAGCTTTGTAGGAAGCTAGGGAAGTGATTGCTGGGCCTCTTGCTGAGATATTTGTATCATCGATAGCCACAAGTGACTAATGTGGTGCCATTATTTAAGAAAGATGGTAAGGAAAAGCCAGGGAACTATAGACCAATGAGCCCGATGTCAATGGTGGGTAAATTATTGGAGGGGTTTCTGAGGGACAGGATTTACATGTATTTGGAAGGACAGGGATTGATTAGGCATAATCAACATGGCTTTATGTGTAGGAAATTGTGTCTCGCTAACTTGATTGAGTTTTTGAAGAAGTAACAAAGAAGTTGATGATGGCAGAGTTGTGAAAGTTGTCTATATGGACTTCAGCAAGGCTTTCGACAAAGTTCTACATGATAGACTGGTTAGCAAGGTTAGATCCCAAGGTGAGGTAGCCATTTGGATACAAAATTAGCTTGAAGGTTGTAGGCAGAGTGTAGTGGTGGAAGGTTGTTCCTCAAACTGGAAGCCTTTGACCAGCAGTGTACCACAGTGGGCCCACTGCTTTTTGTCATTTATATAAATGATTTGGATGTAAATATAGGAGGTATGGTTAGTAAGTTTGTGGATGACATCAAAATTGGTAATGTAGTGGACAGCAAAGATGTTTATCTCCGAGTACAACGGGACCTTGATCAGATGGGCCAATGGACCGAGGAGTGGTAGATGGGGTTTAATTTAGATCAATGTGAGGTGTTGCATTTTGGAAAGGCAAATCAGGGCAGGACTTACACAGTTAATTGTAAGATCTGGGGAGTGTTGCCAAACAAAGAGACCTTGGAGTGCAGGTTCATAGTTCCTTGAAGGTGGAGTCCCAGGTGGACAGGATAGTGAAGAAGGTGTTTGGTACGCTTGCCTTATTGGTCAGTGCATTGAGTATCGGAGTTGGGATATCGTGCGATGGCTCTGGAGGAGATTGACTAGGCCCCTTTTGGAATACTGCGTTCCAGTTTCCCAGCGAGAAGAAGGATGTTGTGAAACTGGAAAGGGTTCGAAAATATTTACAAAGATGTTGCCAGGTTGCAGGGTTTGAGCTATAGGGAGAGACTAAATAGACTGGGGCTATTTGGGGCTATTTTCCCTGGAGCATCAGAGTCTGAGGGGTGATCTTATAGAGGTTTATAAAATTACGAGGGGCATGGATAGAGTAAATAGCCAAGGTTTTTTTTCCCAGGGTGGGGGAGGCCAAAACTAGAGAGCATAGGTTTAAGGTGAGAGGGGAAAGATTTAAAAGGGTTCTAAGGGACAACTTTTTCACACAGAGTATGGTGCGTGTATGGAATGAGCTGTCAGAGGAAGTGGTGGAGGCTGGTACACTTACAACATTTAAAAGGCATCTGGATGAGTATATGAATAAGAAGGGTTTAGAGGGATATGGGCCAAATGCTGGCAAATGGGTTTGGATCAGTTTAGGATATCTGGTTGGCATGGACGAGTTGGACCGAAGGGTCTGTTTCTGTGCTATACAGCTCCATGACTGTATTGTTTTGGGCTTTAATTCAGGTTAGTTGTCCTGTCCTCAGGTTTGTTTTAGGGCATGAGTTTTGTGAAGCCCAGCTGACGCAATTTCCTCTCTCTTTCCACAGGGAGTTAAACCGCTCTGATTCCGAATCCTCCATTTCTCAATCCAGTGAGCAGCAGCGTCTTCCCAACCCCTCAGGCTCTCCCAGTGCCCTCCTACACAGCTCTGGATCCAGATCCGTGCCATCCAAGCCTACCTCCCTCCTCAAACTGACAGAAGAAATCACTCCGAGCCTGAGTGTTGTGTCAGACTCCAATGTCCCCAGCCCAAACAGCAGCGGCAGCAGCAAACAGGCCAACTCGCTGAGCAGCATGTGTTCCGAGAGTATCTCCGACAGTCCTGTGGCCGGCAGGAAACCTTACCCCAACCGGGGCCTGGAGAAGTCAGCCAGTCTGGGTGAGATCCACCGCGGCACGGAGGGTTCGGCCCTCAGCCCCTCTGAATCCTCACGCTCTCTCAGCCCCACATCCACTGACCCTGAGTCCACCGTGACCGACGCCAAAAATGGCATCAAGGGCACCAAAATCCCTCAGCTGTCCTCGAAAAAGTCTCCAGTAGAGGAGGACAGCACATCAACAGGTGAGGAGACTGAACCCAACCCTGGCAAAAAGAAGCCAGGATTTAAGCTGTTCAAGAAAAAGAACAAGTAAGTCAAGCCAGACTGGGGAGCCGGCCTTTTCCAAACACGAGGTCTGCAACAGAACTGAACTGAACTGAACTGAACTGAGAAGAAAGTAGAGACCCAGCACCACAGGGACTCTCAGTTTAACCTTTGGTCAAGCCTTTTACTAGAGCTGTTTGTCCCCAGAGAGTGGATTTTATTTAATCTTATTTATTTTACAGACTGGTGTTCCTCATTTCTATGCCTTTCCCAAGTCGATGAACGAGGGAAGCTGTGAGGAGCCTCCTGCTTTTCGGGACATCTCTTTGTATCCTGCTGCATGCCTCCTCTCCCAGTGCCTGAGCTGTATCAGGGCAGCATGCACTCGCAATGCTTCTGCAAAAAAAAAGAAAAACACAAGAATCAAATATTTTATAAGGTTTCTGTGGCAGGTTTAAAAACCTTAAGGTTTGAAGATGTAGAGAATGTTGATGTATCTTCTCCAAAGATCTGAGCTACAAAGCTTGTAAATGACTTGGTATGTTTGTACCTTTTAATAAGTGACTGGGGATGGGAGTCACATTTATCATGGAGATCAGTGCTTTCCTTTCTGTCTATTTTCTAATGTTGGTTTGCCAGTGAATGGCTTGTACAAGCCATGGTTGTGTGCAGTCACACTTGGATGAATAGTCGGTCTCTGATTAAAAGAGGATGTGTAGAGTTGGGGATGCTGGGGCTGATCATTGATTGTGCACTGTATTTTTAAACAGATTGATCTGCCCAAGTAAAGCCTCGGACAAAGTGGCTGACCCAGCCTGCTGCAGTCAGAGAACACATCAAGTTCCATTACCCCCGCAACCACCCCCACCCACCAACCACCCACCCCCCACCCACCGTGCTGATGGCCCACTCTAAGAAACCTTAGGCCCAGCCTAAAAACAACACAAGCTGTGCCTTCACTCTTTCTAGCCCTTACTGCTCCCTCTCTAATCCTCACCCTGTCGTTAATCTCATTCTCACCCATTCTCTTTTCTAGCCATCACTCCCTCAGTGGGATTACTCTCTCAAACTCTGTGTTATTAATCTCACTGTAACCCTCAATGCTATCACTCCTACTCTGTCACTGCTGTTAATCTCATTCTAATGCCCTCATTCCATTCTAATAAGCTCTGACCCTGTCTCCCTGAATAATGTTAATTTAAGCACTTTGAAGCTATTAGCTGACTGAATCTCTTGAATATCCCTTGTTTGTGACCATCCCCGATAGACACAAGTTGTGGGGCTGTTGTGTGCTTTTCTGTTTTCCTGGCAGCTGCTGGTTTCTGGTCATCTGGCCCTGGCAGGTTGTGCACCAGATCTCCAAGTTCTGTCATGGAATTAGTTTCTGTTCCTGAAACCGTACTCATTAATTTAAAATGAGTCTGCTGTGACTGAACCGAATTCAGAATGCAGATATTGTTTGCCTGAGCTTAGCAATTAGCTGAAAGATTCTGGTTCGTGTCGAGAACCTTAGTAGAGAAGCTGTAGCCTCTAGTCATGTCTCACTGTGACATTACAATCTTCAGGACTCCAGGCTGGACGTAAAACCATGAGTGGCACTCACTTTTACCAAAGTTTGTCTTTGATCTGAGCCTTTAGTGTTTCTGGGTCTAGGCTGATTGTGTTAACCCTGATGTGTGAACCTGTATCTGTGTGTGTTACACTACCAGGGCTACAGCAGTTACAGGGTGGTGTCAGTGTAGACAGTACCCCTGTTTTGGGTATGCGTAGTCTGTCCTGGCCTGTCTTTGGGGATTATTCTGTCTCTTGAGGCTGTGGAGTTTCAACTCTTTGTTCATCGATGAGCTGAAAAACTGACGCTGAGCTTCTGAAAGTCTCCACATTCCGAGACCTGTTCAGAAGGTTGGTTTGAACTCAACCTGACTTAGAACTAGGTGTTTCTGATCATGTATAGAGTTTTTGAATTTAACTTGTGTGTGCAGGATGATTTTGAGAATGTGACAGACAGGAAAATTCATTGTAGTGCAGCGTAAGAAACTGAGTGGGAGTGCATTGAGCTCTGTCCATGTAAACTGAGAAAACTGTGTGTCTCTGTGCGTGTGTGTGTCTGTGCGTGTAGAACGGTGATGGTAGAGTTCAGCTAATATACCCTGTGTGCGTTTTATTGAGTTTTGTCAAGCTTGTTCTTGAAGAAACCTCAGTGACTAGCTCAGGCTGCTGTTTGAACAGCGGTCAGTGCAGTGACCAGCTCGGACTGCTGACCTGATGATGTTAGTTCTAGAGACACTGCTAGGAATATATCCTGAGTAATGACTCTCAGTTGGCTGTTGGTCATTCAGTGACCAGAAATGCTGGATTAGTATTTCATCTTTGTGCCAATCCTGTTCACTGTTGGGAAGTGTAATTCTGTGTAACACTGTAATGGAGTGGGTGCAGCTTTTGGAAAACACATTCAGCCTTTGTGGATGGGAGTATTTACATTGCTGTGCCCAACAGTCAACCTCACTCTCCCTCACTCTCGCTCCCTCCCTCACTCTCGCTCCCTCCCTCACCCTCGCTCCCTCCCTCACCCTCGCTCCCTCCCTCACTCTCGCTCCCTCACCCTGACAGGTCACTGATAAACCAGGGGTGGTCAGCCTCTGTCAGTATCTGTTAGCTTTGTATCAGTGCACACTGTGTGGCTCTGACTGTATATGTACTGTCCTCGATAACAGTAAGTGCTAACCTAGCATCCCAGCCTAGTCTGTAAACCCGCACCCCCACCACCCCTCTCCCCAGCTCTCTCTGTCTCCCCTCCAAGCCTGGTCTATCTTCCCCTAACCCCTCTCCCCAGCCCGCTCTGTCACCCCCCAACTCTTCCCTCCCCACCCCAAGTCCCCTTTGACCAAGCCTAGGGCTGCTCAGTGGTCACCATTTCCTTTGCTGAGTGTTTAATGAAGTAATAAGGGCAGTGATGACCACCATCTGGTCCCTCATGCAAACTGTGCATCTCTCCCCCACTGTGCTGGCCTTTCCCCTCTCCCTCCCATATGGAATACTCCCCACTCCACCCATCCCATTGCCTCCTGTCCCGTGCTGTCTGTTTCCCCCACACAGTCTCCCCTGCCCCATGCTGTTCCCCCTGCTCCTGGCTGGCTCAGCGATGTTAGAAAAAAATGCAGAGACTCTCCTCAGTGTTTGGGGAGGTTGTGTGGGTTGTTTGTTTTCTGTCCCGTTCTCCCTGTGTGTCTGTGCTGTTAGGAAGGTTGAAGCTGCTTGTAAATAGCATTAGTGATGAGAAATTGCTGGCCATGATTTCTGTGTGAACTCTCCCCCACTATGAGCTGATCATTGGTATGTTGTTTGTCTGTGCTCAGTGTGGCATGCCTATGTTTCCAGGGGCCTTCCTTTTTACTGCAGTGATGCTGTGTGTAATTTTACAGGCTGATCAAACCAACCGGCTTCTCAACAATCAACTTTGTTTTGTTTTATAAAGGGAAAGTAGTTTTTTTTGTAGATAATGATGAATTTTATTCTGGGTTCAGTGTTGGGTAAAAGGACACTGTGTACAATTAATGTGGATTGGGTTGAAATGAGCTGGCCAGCTTCAGTATGTCTCTGTTAGCAAATCCCTGTATGTACTGGTACCATCTGAAAAACTAACCTTCACTCACTTCGAGATGTAGTTTTAGTTCCGGTATTGTTCCCGTTCTGGGAGTGTTTGATGGGGACGGTGTAGAGGGAATTTTACTCTGTATCTGACCCCGTGCTGTCCCTGTCTGGGAGTGTTTGATGCTAACTTCAGTGTGCTGAACACACACACGTACAAAACTGTTACAGCACAGTCAGAGATCCCTGGGTTTTGAACATGTTCAGGGTCTGTCTCAAAATACAAGGTTGTTCATCTGAGAGCCTTCCGCAGCTCCAGAGGCATCATCAGGTGATTGTACTGGCCTTTTTTCTGATGCGTGCTGGGTAAGTGAAGACAGTATTTACTGAAGCTCCAACTGTTACTGTGAATCAAGCAGATTTGTTAATATCTCAGTGATGCACGCTGTATCAGCCTATCTACCCCCCTTTCCCTCCTCACCCCCACCTTTCGGTATTGCATGTTTGGGGAGCATGCGAACCTCAGTATAGTCCATGCTATTCCTTCCTTACTGCTGTCTGCAGGTTTGAGCTTGGCTGTCTGTGCTGTCCCTGGCTGCAAGGACTGCATTACTATGATGTGGAAGGCCCTGTACACTGGCAAAGGACACAGCCAATTGCTCAGAAGTGCGCAAGGCCTGAGTGAGGAGTTTATGAATCACTGGATTGTGGAGATCCCACAAGGGCCTTTGCTCAGGCCCAGGGCTGTGATTTCTCAGTGGGTTTCTCTCGGCATTGCTCTCCTGCAGGGAGTTCTTTGTATCTCTTGCTGCAGTGAGCTTTCAGGTTTACAAGTGCTGATGCTTTGTCAGTGCATTTGCTTCTGAAGTGTGGCTGCAGTGGTGAGGGTGGGGATTTTACCCCTGGTTGGGTGAAGTGTGGGGTTTGGTAGGGGCCTGTTCATGAGGATTGTGTGTGAAGATGCATTTGGGGACTTCTACCTTGGCTGATGTTTGCACAGCCTTGCTGTCACCCAATCTTCATATCTGTGTTCAATTTCCCCTGTGCTGTTTGTTATGAAGAGAAAAGAAAGTCTTTGTAAAATGAAATAAAAGTATAATGTAAAGTTCTGAAACTAATGTACGAAATCTTTCACTTTTATGGCAGCAAATGCATGGAAGCAATAAATTGATCAAATGTGAAGCTGCTCCTGGTTGTGTCACCGTGTTTTGTTCACCGTTGTCATAAAGCTTCCATTTCCCTGCCATCTCTCTTCCACACTCTCTGGGTCAGAGTGACCTGCAGTGTCCCCTCTGTATCTGGGGGTTTCTCTCTGTGTCGTCTGCCAGAGCCACTGTGTTCCCAGCTGCTCCAACAAACCAGACAGAGGGCAGCATCTGGTGGCAGCTCCTTGCTCCTACAGCTACTGAGATGAACATCAGTTAAAATAATTGAGGAACAAAAGCAGAAGTTGCTGGAAAAGCTCAGCAGGTCTGCAGCATCTCCATTTTCAGGAAGGGTCACTGGCCCTGAAACATTAACTGAGTTTTTTTCTTCACAGGTGCTGCTAGACCTGCTGAGTTTTTCCAGCAACTTCTCTTTGTGTTCCTGACTTACAGCATCCGCAGTTCTTTTGATTTTTCTTAAAAAAAACTTCCTCCAATTAACTCCCTCACTGAAATGTTGAAATGATTCCACATACTGATCAGTCTGTCATAATCTGATGTTTGTCTTCAGCTGGTTTTAATGTTTCTGGTCCTGTAATCAATATTTGGCATTACCCTGTCTCTCCTTCGGTACATTTCTGTCTTGTCACTCCATTTTCTCACTCTAACTCTAAGACTAATTCTTCATCAACTTGCCCTAAATATAACAATGCAAATGCTGGAAACCTGAAATAAAAACAGGACGCATCAGTATTGAGAGGATTGCTGAGTAAAAGCACAGTTTGTCAAATTGTTTTGTCAGAAATATCACTTTGTAGAGAGCTCTGCGTTATTCTGACTGAAAAAGAGTGGACTCCTCCTGCATCTTGAGGTCAGAAGTGGAAATGTTTGCTGAAGACCATAAGATGTGGGAGCAGGAGTAGGCCATTCATCCCATCAGGTCTGTCTCACCATTCAATGAGATCATGGCTGATCTGATAATCCTCAAATCTGCTCTCCTGCCTTTTCCCTGTAATCCTTGATCCCTTTACTGATTAAAATCTGTCTCTCTCAGCTTTGAATGTACTTAATGACCCAGCCTCGACAGCTCTCTGTGGTAAAGAATTCATTACACCCAGAAGAAATTCCTCTTTAAATGTTTTAAATCTGCTGTCCCTTATCCCAAGACTGTGACCTCTCATTTTATGCTGCTGTGCAGGAGGAATCTCCTTTCTCCATCAACTTTGTCAATCTCCTTTAGCATCTTATATACCTCAATTAGATCTCGTTTCCGTTTTCTAAACCCCAGAGAGTATCAGCCTAAACTGCTCAATCCCTCTTTACAAGACCAGCCCCTCGGCTCTGGATTCAATCTCATGAACTTCCTCTGAACTCTCGCCACCTCAACGCAAGCTGGAAGAACAATACTTCAATTTCCACTTGGGGACCCTGCAGCCCTCCGGACTCCATATAGAACATAGAACATTACAGCGCAGTACAGGCCCTTCGGCCCTTGATGTTGCGCCAACCTGTGAAACCAATCTGAAGCCCATCTAACCTAAACTATTCCATTATCATCCATATGTTTGTCCAATGACCATTTAAATGCCCTTAAAGTGGGCGAGTCTACTATTTT